GGAAAACGCGAGAGGGAGCTAAAGTGACTAAAATCGAGATAAAAGGGGTGAAAAGAGGCATAAATGGTTCCTCATGATTCCACGAAGGAACCGGAAAAAAAATCCTCATGAACGGTCCGCGTTCTCCCCACTAGCTTCAAATCGTCCCCCTAGATGGTTCCTCATGATTCCACGAAGGAACCGGAAAAAAAATCATTTTGAGGAGGTAAAAGATCATCCCGACATCTCAACTATGCACGCTCTCTCCATAGGGTTGAAAACCAACTCCCTCCACCGGTTATTGACCACGCACCCCTAAAGTCTAAGGGTCTTTATTAGGGTTGTAATGACTCGGCTTCAGGTAGAGGTAGGGAGAACATTTGAAATAGTGGTTGTAAATCCTAAGTGAAGCAAGAGAGTGGCCAATTCTCATGGACAAAACTCAAGAAACAACCACAACTCAAACGGTCACCCAACATTTCGATTTCATCGCATCACCACCCCTTATTCAAGTATATACAAAATAAATAATTTTCTCATTTCATTTATATATATATATTATATATATATATATATATATATATATATATATATATATATATATATTATTTTATGTTTTTTTTTAAACACTCTTTTCCGATCTTCCTTACATATTCAACTCTAGAATTACAAACCAATTTCACAAATGATTCATGCTTACATTCATGACGCTCTTTCACACTAGCCTCGCAAACCCATTGCTTCACTAACTAAAAAGGTTGGTAAACATAGGTCGCTAGGCTTGTAATGAGGTTGAGACAAGAATGGGAAAACATTAGGCTCAAATTGGTTGGCAAGAAGGTTGATGCAAAAAGAAAAATCAAATTTGTAACTAAATAAAAGAGAATATAAACAAAAATGAGAAATGGTGCCCTTTTCCTCCCTCAAAGGTCCAAGGTCACGATCTTGGGAGCTAATAGTCAACACAAGGATTCAAACATGCATAGTCGAGGATCCTAACACGCCGCTCAACAAGTTGATGAAGGCTTGAACGAACTGAACCTCACAAGGGACGAGAAAAGTAAGCAAACACCAACTGGAGGGCTTCAAATCCACTACAGGGAGCAACTCCATCTTACCACATCCCATGAACTAGGGGTTCAAACGCCCTCACAAGTTATTACCCTTGCTACCTTAACTAAGGCTCGTCTAATTCAATCAACAACAATCTCGAAATGTGCATCTCATCACATAGTTAAGAAAAAGGACAAACATTCTAGGATGCATCATCACGGAGATAGAGTCCAAATGTAGCAAGCAAGTTCCAAAACACAACCATATCATCATGTCATAATTACGCTTATCACACAAAAGGAAGTAGAACAAAAGAAAGAGGGAATCAAGAAGGTTCATATAAGAGGCTTAAAGATTCAAATAAATCCCAATCGACATACAAGTGATCGTTCGGTCTCAATACCAACGATCCCAGGTTCCTTGGAACCACATGCAAACATCCTCGAACCATTCAACTCCTTACTAAGCTAAATCCTAAACTAAACACAACACGAGAAGAGAAAAAAAAAGGTAAAGGAAAGATCTCACCCATGTCTCTTGAAGAAAGAATAAAGCAACCTTGCAATTTACCGTGCCTCCACATGTCGCTTCCAATTTCTTCCAAGCTACAAGAGAGATAAAAACAAAAAAAAACAAGGCAAGCACTACAAAGAAAAGAAAGTTAGTACAAGAGAGAGAAAGAAAATCCATGAACTCAATTCTTTGGGTATGACCTACTACCCAAACATACCATCATCAAGAAATCATCATCATCATATCATTATCATCATATCATCATCATCATAGAAATGGACATCATAGACACCAAACAACAACAACGCTACCAACGACACCTACACCTAAAACCCCTAAATAGTCCCTTGAGTCCTAGGTGCCTTCCTCCACACTTAACTCAAGCATTCCCTAACACTCTCCTTTGACTCAAACATCCCCCCCCCCCACACTAGAGTAAAGCATCGTCTTCGATGCGGCACAAGGACATGTAATAAAGGGGAGGGACAACAAAGGGAGGGAACAAAAAGAACAAGGGGGAAACTAATGGCCACTAGGGCCGGAACCATCGTTATCCGCATTCCAACTGTCATAAGTGCAACCCGAGGGGGGGCCATAGGGGTCCCAACCTCCGGAGTAGCCAGGTGGCCACCCATAATGACCTTTGAAGAGGTCAAGTTGGGATGCAGATAACTGGTCATATGGCTCGGGTTGGACAAGGGGTGCGGGGTGAGAGGGATCAACATAAAAGTAGTTAGGATCACCCTTGTAATCACTCCCACCCGAAACCCGGTAATCATAATGACCGGACTCATCGGGGAAATCACGCCTGGGCACATTGGGGTCCGAGGGACCCTGCCAATAGGGGTACGTAGGTTGGTTGTCACCCCCCCCAAGATGGCACGGGCCCTTGTTGGGCCGGCACATATGGGTAGTTGATCGGGGGGGTGACATCCCCTCTACGTACACTCAAATCATATAAAGCGTTGGTTTGGTAACAAAAGTGTTGGTGGGAAGCAAACATACCTTGCATGCCGAGTTGCATGATTTCCATTTGGGCTCTCATTGCCTCCATTTGTTGTTGGTAGTCGGGTTGATGATGTTGTTATTGTTGCCTTCTTCCTTGTTGTTGTTGTGGGAACTCATCCTCCGCACTTTCATGGCTTTGACCGGACCCTTCACCCATAACCATTCTTGCACTAGGAAGGACACCCGAGTCCTTCTTTACCCACCATGGGTAATTTTCTCTTTCCTTTGTGAAAGAAGTGAATTCCGGCTTGGGAAGGAAACAATGATGTTCATGGGAGACAAGTAAGCTCCAAGTCCTTCCTCAATCCTCGATATCTGTAATGAATTTCATAGTTTTTAGTTGATCGAGGTCGAGCCAAATATCGCTCCCATCACTCTTCCCCACGGGGGTGCAAGATTCAAGCTTAGCCAAATGCCCCAACTTCTCGGCTATCCGAGTGACCATTCCTCCAAAATGGATTTCCCCCTTCCTTGTGCCCGAGAGGACACCTTCAATACACTTACTGAAAAGAAACCCTAAGTTCATTCTAAGCCCAATCTCCGGCTGCGTAGCTAGCCATAATATCCGGATTTCCTCAGTTGTAATCTTCCCCAAGTCTTGCTTATTAAAGACCATGTACCCTAGAATTCGATGCAGAAGTCTGATGGCTGGGTACATGATCTGGCTGGCTAAAGAGTACATGGAGTTGAAAGCGTCCATTCTCGAAATGACCTTCCACCAATGAAGAGGCTCATAAGCATGGAGGCCTGCATGCTCGGGGAAGAACATATCGGCATCGGGGTTGAAGTCCAGTAGTTGGTTAAACTAGCGGAGGGTGAAGGTTTCTTTTTTGTTAAAGAGTTGGAAGGAGATGGAGAGATCATTATCCCCTGCGGCATGGCTTTCGAAAGAAGCAAGAAACTCTAGGGTAGGCTCTTTGTAGGTTCGATATGCACTTGACACAAAGGAACCAAGCCCGAGGTTGTTGAACAAGAACCAACAATCCTCGTCGATGCCAAGCTTGGTGGCGGTGGGATGGTGGTAATGCTTGGTTGGTCTCAACTTCCTGTTTAGGAGGTTGTCATAGATGGGTTTGTGGTTTTTATTGTGGAATTTGAGGGGTGGTAGAGGTGGTGGAGCGGTTTGTGTTTGTTCATTTTGTTGGGGGTTTGAGGAGGATGAACCTTGAAGTTCCTTCCCGCACTTTCTTTTCTTTGAACCAAACACCATTTTTACCACACAAATATACTACTACCAAGAAATTCTTCTCAACAAGCCACACCAAGATCAACCGCAACAACTTTCAAATCCAACCAAACACCACAAAGAACACCTCTAAGTAATTACCAAGAACAACTCGCAACAAAGAAATCTATATGGAGAGACAACTATCACAAACAACAACTTAAAAATCAATAATAGTCAAGATGATAAATGAGTATAAAATAGGAGTACAACCATCAAGAATTTCAACATGCAAAATCACAAACATGAAATTTTCTCAAACAAACATGAAATTTTCTCAAACAAGCATATACTTCAAATTAAAAGGAAATAAAGAGTAGAAGAGAAATTTATACCAACAATGAGTTCAAATGAGTACTCCTACTAGCCTTTGAAGAAGAAGAAAAGTCCACTCCAAGAACCCTTCAATGGTTGGAGAAAATCCCACACAAGAGAAAGTATGGAGAATTTGGAGTTTTTAAGAATGAAAAAAAAATCAGATTTTGTTGAGAAAAAGTGAAGAAAATGAGGGAAATTGTTGAAATTTGATGGAGTTTGATGATTTGGGAAGAGAAATTGAGGTAGAATTGGTTAGGGTTTGGAATGGAGTGAGGAGTAGAGAGAAAGAGGGGAAAAATTCAGTTTTGGGGGTGAAATGATTCGGGTATATGGCTTAAAATCCAAGTTAAAAATCGCAGAACAAATGGGTCGCGCCCGCGGGGCTTAGGGCCGCGCCCGCGGGATAGCCTGTCCGCGCCCGCGAAGGTGTATGTCGCGCCCGCGACACTAACACTTCAGGTTTCTGATGTTTCTGAACTGCTGGGTGCCGCGCCCGCGGGGTAGGATTGTGCGCCCGCGTCGGTGACTGTCCGCGCCCGCGGGGGTCATGTCCGCGCCCTCTCTTAGCCATCTCCCAGGAATCTCCACTTCCCTTGAAAAACTGAAAGGGCTCTGCCCGCGCCCGCGGGTTTCCTGTGCGCGCCCTCTCTAGGGTTTCTCCTGGCATCTCCACTTTCAATTCTTCCATTCTCCTTCTCCTCTCCAAACTCAACTTAATAGATCAAAATCCCAAAGATCCAAGTACCTAATGGAAGAACAAACACACACACTATAAGAGATTAAAGAAAAATCGTTCAAAAATAATCAAAGACAAGAAACACAAAATCAAAAGAGTTGAGAACTCGGGTTGCCTCCCGAGAAGCGCTTCTTTATAAGGTCATTAGCTTGACCATACACATTATCTTTAAGAAAGTGGCTTAGGATCCGGCGGATCGAGCCTCATGCACTCAATCATGCCAACTTGATCATTGCAATGGTAGAGCTTCAAACGGTGGCCGTTAACCATGAACTTGTTCCCCTCCGCTTCTAACTTAAATGACCCGTAAGGAGTAGTCCTCAAAATTGTGAAAGGCCCCGACCACTTGGATTTTAGTTTTCCGGGAAACAACCGAAGTCTAGAGTTGAACAACAACATCTTGTCTCTAACCTTGTCTCTAACCTTGAAGCTCTTTTTCCTTATATGTCGGTCGTGCCATCTCTTAGTTCTCTCCTTGTAGAGCCTCGAGTTCTCGTATGCATCGTACCGGAGCTCCTCAAGTTCATTGAGCTTAAGCAATCTCTTCTCACTCGCCAAGGACATGTCCATTTGAGCTCTTTCATTGCCCACCAAGCCTTGTATTCCAAATCAACCGGCAAGTGACAAGCCTTCCCATAGACCAACCGGTAGGGGGTCGTGCAAATGGGGGTTTTCTATGCCGTCCTTAGAGCCCAAAGCGTGTAATCAAGCTTGAGAGACCAATCTTTTCTAGACTTGTTCACCATCCTCTCAAGAAGGTTTTTGATCTCTCTATAGGACACTTCCGCTTGTCCTTGAGTTTGAGGGTGGTAAGGGAGACCAACCTTGTGATGAACCCCGTACCTTTTGAGGAGAGCTTCGAATTGCTTCTTGGCAAAATGAGAACCACCATCGCTGATTAGCACTCTAGGAACCCCAAACCGTGGAAATATGACTTTTTTTAGAAGCGTGAGCACCACATTATGGTCATTGGTGGGGGATGGTATAGCTTCAATCAACTTGGTCACGTAGTCCACCGCCACCAAGATATAAAGATTTCCACAAGAAGAGACAAAAGGCCCCATGAAGTCGACACCCCAAACATCGAATGGCTCGACCTCGAAAATGTTTTGTTGAGGCATTTCATCCCTTTTGGTTATGCCACCACTTCTTTGGCATTTATCACACCGTGAGACGAATTTGTGGGAATCCTTGTGCATTGTTGGCCACCAAAGAAGAGATTGGGAGATCTTTGCCACGGTCTTTTCAACACCTCCATGCCCTCCACATGGCAATGAGTGGCAATGTTCAAGAACTCCTTCTATCTCGTGATCCGGAACACATTTTCGAAAGAGGCCATCTCCACATTGCTTGAACAAATAAGGATCATTCCAAAAATATCTCCTCACTTCCTTGAAAAATCTTTTCTTTTGTTGAGAGGAGAATTCCGGGGGAACGACTCCACATGCTAAATAGTTGGCAATATCCGCGTACCAAGGGCTTGATGCTGACGCCATGGCCATGAGGGTCTCAAACCCTACCTCTTCATTGATATGCATCTCTTCCTTATTCTCAAAAGGAAGTCTAGATAGATGATCCGCCACATAATTCTCCGCTCCCTTTTTATCCCTCATCTCCATGTCAAAGTCTTGGAGCGAAAGAACCCAACGGATGAGACGCGGTTTTGCTTCCTTTTTGGTCATAAGATAGCGGACCGCTATGTGATCCGTGTAGACTATCACCTTTGAGCATATGAGGTAGGACCGGAACTTATCCATGGCAAAGACAACCGCTAGCATTTCCTTCTCTGTTGTGGTATAATTCCTTTGAGCTTCGTCGAGCGTTCTACTTGCATAGTAGATGACACAAGATCTTCCTTCTTTCTTTTGTCCAAGTACGGCACCTACTGCAAAATCACTTGCATCGCACATTAGCTTAAAAGGCAAGCTCCAATCCGGAGCTTGCACAAAAGGAGAGGAGATGAGGGCTTCCTTGAGCTTTTGGAATGCCTCTAGGCAAGTCTCATCAAAATTGAACACAATATCCTTTTTGAGTAACTCGGTTAAGGGCTTGGCAATTGATGAAATTTTTTTGATAAACCTCCGGTAGAAACCGGCATGCCCAAGAAAAGCTCTCACTCCCGTGACGGAGGTAGGAGGGGGCAACTTAGCAATCACCGAAACCTTAGCCGAGTCTACTTCAATGCCAGTTTTTGATACTTTATGGCCTAGGACAATACCTTCCTCGACCATAAAATGACATTTTTCCCAATTAAACACTAAACTCGTCTCTTGACACCTTTTCAAAACTTTTTCAATGTTAATAAGACATGTGTCAAAAGACGAGCCACCAACACTAAAATCATCCATAAAAATTTCAATCTCATTTTCAAGCATTTTAGAAAAAAATTGAGGTCATGCATCGTTGGAAAGTTGATGGGGCATTGCATAACCCAAAGGGCATTCTTCGGTATGCAAATGTCCCATATGGACATGTAAAAGTAGTTTTCTCTTGATCATTTGGATGGATAGGAATTTTGAAAAAATCGGAATATCCATCCTAAAAGCAAAAGAAAGCATGATGGGAGAGTCTTTCCAACATTTGGTCCATGAAGGGGAGAGGAAAATGATCTTTCTTAGTGTTTTTGTTCAACTTCCTTTAATCAATGCACATCCTCCACCCGGTCACCGTCCGGGTGGAGATTTCTTCTACTCCTTCTCCCTTGACAATGGTCATTCCACCCTTTTTGGGAACCACGTGAAATGGGCTAACCCACTTGCTATCGGAGATAGCATAGATTATACCGGCCTCGCGCAATTTAAAAATTTCTTTCTTGACAACCTCTTGGAGGTTGGGGTTCAACCTCCTTTGAGGCTCAATGGAGGTGGATTGATCATCCTCAAGGTGAATACGATGCATGCATAAAGAAGGGCTAATACCCTTGATATCATCAATGCTATACCCTATCACATTACTATACTTTCTCAAAACAACAATCAATTTTTCCAAATCAAGACCATTAAGGGAAGCATTGACAATAATAGGGTATTCCCCTTCATTTCCAAGGTAAGCATATTTCAAAGAAGGGGGAAGGGGTTTGAATTCTACCTTGGGAGGAGGCTTAGAACTCTCCTCCAATTTTTCCTCCTCATGTTCTAGCTCATCATGCTTAGGATCACTCGCTTCCTCCTCCTTGGCTTATTCAATGGCCATAGCAAACTCCTTTGCTTCTTGAGAGAAGTATTCTTCCTCACATGTGAGAGCTTCAACCATTGGATCTTGAGGAATCATCATAACCCTTTCCAAACGACCTAGCTCTTCATTAACAACATCAACCCTATAGCACTTCTCAACCATGGGGGTCTTGAGTAGCTTGGAGAATTCAAAGACAATTTTTTCATCGGCTACCTCACATGTAATGGTATTGTTCTTGCAATTAATTACCGGCCCCAAGGTATTAAGATCTTCACGGCCCAAAATCAAAGGTGTATCCACATCTTCATCCATATCCATCACTACAAAGTCACAAGGCATATAGATATGCCCAACTTGAATAGGGACATCTTCAAGCTCACCACAAGGTAGCTTCACCGAACGATCGGCCAGTTGAATGGTTTTCCTTGTGGGGATCATCTCAATGTTAAGCTTTTGAGCAATGGATAGAGGGATCAAACTAACACTTGCTCCAAGGTCGGCTAACGCACCCCTAGCTTCCATGTTCTCAATCTTGACCGGCAAGGTGAAGCTTCCCGGATCCTTTTGCTTCTTGGGCATTTTGTGTTGAACAAGTGCACTCACTTTATGGGGAAGAGTGATAAGCTCGTCATTGAGCTTCCTTTTGTTGGTGAGAATGTCTTTCAAAAACTTGGAGTATGAGGGAATTTGTGTGACAACCTCAATGAAAGGGAGGTTAATGTGTCAGTTTTTCATCACACTTAGAAACTTTGCAAATTTGTCATTCAATTTTCTCTCCGCAAGCCAACCGAGAAAAGGAACCGGCCCATCAAGATTTCTAGCCTCACTAGAAGTTGAGGATGTCACCAGATCCTTAGACTTCTTTTTCTCCATACTCTTCTCTTTCTCATCAACCTTCTCTTCTTCAACTTCTTTATCTTCACTCATCTTCTCTTCTCCTTCCTTCTTTTCCTTGACATCACTCTTCCTTGGGACCCTCATAAGATGTACCCGATCTCAATGTGATTGCCTTGCAAGAGTCGGGTTTCATAATATTGGAAGGGTTGGTTTGTGATTGTCTGGGTAAAGTGGAAGATGAGTTGAAAGGAACCCTCTCGGCCAATTGTGCTAGTTGTGAATCAACCATCTTGTTATGAGCCTTGACTTCTTGCATTTGTTGATTCATGGCTTGAAGTTGTTGAAGAATTTGAGTTTGAGTAGAATCGGGTTGAGATGCTTGCTCTTGACTTCTTCGAGTTGCTTGGTTTTGATTTTGGTATTGATGTTGATTATTGTGTTGGTTGTTTCTTGGGTAGTTTCCTCTTTGATTTTGGGTTTGGAATGGAGGTGGGTTTTGATATTGGGTGTTGGAGTTGTATGGTTGTTGAGCTTGTTGATTCCATTATTGAGGTTGGGTTGAAAATCCGGGTGGTGGTTGTCTCCAAGCTACTCCTCCACCATTTCCCCTATACCCTTCTTGCCTTGTATTGTATACCGCTACATGCTCCGGGCTTAAACCTCCACAATAGGATGTGTCATGGTTTGTACCGCCACAATTTTGACAAGATAAAGAGTTGACTTGGGAGGAGCTCGCCCCACTATTGACACTAGTATTCAACTTTGCAAGCCCTTTTGTCAAAAGCTCAATTTGATGTTGCAATTGATCGACTATCTCCAACTCATACTTCCCACCTTTCTTTAGCGCATTCCTCCTTCTTCCTCCCCAAGAGTAGTTTTTGACTACCTTTTCAATTGTTGCTTCAACTTGATTTTGAGGGACTTTGATCAATTGTCCACCCGCCCCCGCATCCAAATTGGCTCGAGACATCAGTTCCAAACCATCATAGAAGAACCTCATGAGTAAGCTTTGATTGTATTCATGGTGAGGACATGCTTTCACCAACTCTTTAAACCTCTCCCAAGCTTCACTAAGGCTTTCCTTTGCCTCTTGTTCAAAATATGTTATCTTCCTCCTCATGTCGGCGATTTTCTCTTTGGAGATGAACCTTTTCAAAAATGCTTGGACAATTTCCCTCCATGTTGTGAGAGAATTAGGCTTGACTTGCTTGAGCCACTTCTTTGCTCTCCCCGCAAGAGATTGCCGAAATAGGTGCATCCGAATGTATTCTTGAGAAACTTGGTTTGTTTGTATCATGGCACAAAGTTCAAGAAACCTATCAAGATGCTCAATGGGGTCTTCACTTGGCGAACCCGAGAATTGCTCCGCTTGAACCATTCGAGTGTATTGAGGATGGATGGTGAAATTAGTTTCCGTGACGGGTAGCAATATCCCACCGGTGAGCTACTCACAACCGAACTCACAAAATAAAACATCCGCTTGTGGTCCTGTCATTTCGTCACCTTGGTAATGTGAGGACCAAGAATAACTCTCACTATCAAAGATAGCACCAAAACCTCGTCCCTCTTCTTGATAGAGTCTACGGACTTGTCTCAAGGTGCGGTCGATTTCGTGATCAAGGTTGTGAGTAGGTGGTCCTTGAGATCTTCTTTGCATTCACCAAAGCTAAGCAAACAATTAGCAATTACTAGTAAGTGGAAAAAGAACAAAATAAAAAGCAACAAATCCACTAATAACGCAAATTAAATGTGCAAAACTAGCCGTCTCCCCAGCAACGGCGCCAAAATTTTGATCGGTGGACAATAGGTCGTTAGTTTACTATCCTAGACCAAAATTACAATTTATATCTCGTATCCTAATTCTATCAATTTTACTTTAGATAGCGGTAAGGTAGGGTCGATTCCCAAGGAAACGGGGGTTTAGCACAATTAATACGAAATCTATGATAAACTGCTAGTAACAAAAAAGAGGTATTGAGATTTGTGTTTGAAGAATCCTAGGGACAAACCAACTACTATTGAGCCTAGAATAAACTAAAAACAAAGGAAATAGATTAAACACTCTTAAATGCAAATAAATGGACAAGATTAGAGAGATAACAATGACAAAAGCACTAGGGAGAGGGGGATTCAATCATGAACAAGGAATACTAATGAAAACCAATAAGGAACCAATTCTAGGAGTATAAACTCTACCTAAGATAGTTCATTCTCATGCAACTACTCAAGCAAGTGGATGAAATCATTCACACCTAGATTAAATCATTCTCATGCATTCAATAAAGGGCTAGACTCTTGGGATTAGAGGTGCACACACTAACTCCAAGCATATTTTAACTCAAATCATCAACTCAAGAATAAATCCCAATCAATAATCAATAGATAATCACATACTCATGATTTTCACCCCCTTCCCTAGCTAATAACCTAAGCTAGAAGGAAGGGAATAGCCATAGCAACCGACATAAGCATATATTCAATATCAACACAACCTAACATGATTTTATTTTGAAAGGAAATCAACGAAACTAATAAATCTTGAATATTTATGAATGAAAACTCAATTAGAACAATAAAACAAAGAGAACCAAAAACTAGAGAAACAAAAGTAAAGATTGATATTATAAAGATGAAAGATTACCAAATCATCAAAGTAGTAGCAACAATCTAGAAGAAAGCTTGAATATTTGATTAGAAAGATTGATTCTTGAAGACTAGTGTTTTCTCTCTCTAGAAGACATGGATATTCTCTCTCTACAAATGATTTTTAAACCAATGGAATAGTGAATACCTCAAAAACTCAAGCTAAAGACTATTTATAGTCTTCTACCAAAAAGAAGAAAAAGGGCAAGGGAGAGGGCTCTCCGAATAGGCTTCGCGCCCTCCCCAAGCTGGGTATTAAGTTCGTCAAACCCTTATTGCCGCGCCCGCGGCCCTTTTCTCCGCGCCGCGGCTCGCCATCTCCACTTATTTTTGTTGGCAACAGGGCTTTCCTGTCCACGCCCGCGACTATCAAGCCCGCGCCCGCGGCTATGCTCATCAGCGCGCTCTCTCCATTTTGGCATCTCCACTTCCCTAGCAAGCTCCCTTAGCATCTCTACTTGAACTAGTAACCCATGATTTGCCCACGAGTGCTATGAGCTATCAAAACACACGAAAAGGAGGTAAAAACTAAAAGAAAAGACAAAAGGGAAGGGAAAACGCAAGAGGGAGCTAAAGTGCCTAAAATCGAGATAAAAGGGGTGAAAAGAGGCATAAACAAGTGACAAATCCGGGGGAAATCTCTAGTGAAAAAGGGTAAAATGGTGGCATAAATTCCACACATCAAAATACCTTCATTATAAGCTGCCCAAGCAAGGAAATAAACAAGGAAAGGTTCAATAGATCTATTGGGAAAGAAGGAAGCTTAATAACCAAGGAAGTAAAAATGACACATCCGGTGGCAGCGATTGCGACTGCCACGCGCCACTCCAAGGGCCACGCGACACCTCCCTGCAACCACCTTGAGTCCAGCTACGACGTCGGCCAGCGCGTGTGAGTCGTGAAGGCTCCAGGGTGAAATGGATGATTTCTTGTTTTACTTAATTTTTTTTAGAGTTTTTGCTTGCTAGTTTTTACCTTTCACTTGAAAAGGTTTTTCTTGGTTTAAGAACTTAGGATAAGATTTAATTTCTGTTATTTAGTTGCTATAAATTCCTATGTTTATTAGGAAAGTTTTTAGGTAGTTAACTAGAGTTTGTTTAGGATTAGTTTTCCTATTCTAATTAGAAGTTATTATTCTATTCTAGTTAGGATGCATGGAGAACAAGGTTAGGGGTTTGTCCTAATCCTTGTAAGAGTAGAATTAGTTGCCTCCTATGTCTATAAATAGGGGTAATTTTCGTGGCTTTAGATAGATAGAAAAAATCAGATTAATTTCAATACAAATTGTTTAACTTTGTTTAAACTTTTCTTTGCTAGTTTTCAATTCAAGGAGTTGTTTTGATAATTAGAACGTTCAATTTTTCATTATAGGAGTAATCTAAGTTTTTTTCATCAAAATACTTAGTTCCAGGAGTGGTCTAGGTAGTTTGAATAGGCATTGAATTCGTTCTAGGAGTGGTCGTTTTCAAAGTCATATCTGGTTCCTTGTTCTTAAATTGTTCGGATTTCTTAGGAAATTCGAAAGGCTTGTGATACTTGTGTGATTTTAGATTCTTTATTAAGTTAAGGGGTTTAAATCCACATAAATTATCCTCCCACTTGTCGTTTTGGAAATGCATTACTTTCCAGAAAGACACCACTTAGCGCAACAAATAATATTTTCTCAATTAGGTTGTGGAAGTAATGCCCGTAGTCTCACTTAAATGCTTACAAAGAGACAAGTATATTGTCTTTGGGTAAAAGTTCGTTGTGAAACAAACAGTTAGCTCCCACTTGAGCTTCCCTAGCCCTTTTGAGCCACTTAGCTCCCACTAATCCAATGAGCTCCCACTGAGAGTAAGAGCATTAGATATATACTTGAAAAGACGCTAGAAACTATTTATATCCATAATAGAATATGGTGTCCTTTCTTAGCTTCGACAATTTGTTTAGTGTAACATTAGTCATTTGTACAAATCTTTAAGAACGTTATAGGAAGGGATGTGATCCATCATCGTTCGAGTCATTTCCAAATGGCATCGAGGTCTCCGTCAAGATATACTATATTCTTTATGGAGCTATTTATGAAATGTTCAGAACACAAATCATGTCCATGACTTGAACCTTGTGAGTTTTCATGTTAGAGAAATGTTTGTTTATAATCAAGCATCCTTGACTCATGGCTTAGACAACCATGCCATTCAAATAAAACCGACAACTATTTCTCTTTCACTTTGAATGTGAGTCTTTTCGTGTGTAAACGGATGATTTGCTGATTACAGAACACAATAACCATTATTTGTTCTAGCCTTAGCTTTAAAAGGTCTTTAAACAAAGCTAATTACCTTACAACTAATGTAGCATCACTTGCTTCATTCCAAGCTTGTAAGTCAATAACTTAGCTGAACTTCAATGGTTTGAGGTCACTTTAAAATGGAACCCTCAAGCAGTATCTGATACTTGTGAAGATAATGAGTTGCTAAGTTAACTACGATAACATGAACTCATAAGTAGAATTGGAA